TATATATAAAATATATGAAGTGTAAGACTGGAAAATTTCAGGGATTTTAGGTTTTGAAAGAACTTAAAATGAGACTCAGAGATGGTATAAATGTGCAAAGTGCCTGGAAAAGCTGGGCTGTGCCAAGTCTGACCAGACCTATTCCTTTTTTCCGCAGTATAATTTTTTGGGCTTTAGATTTTTAAAAGTAGAAAAAAACAGTGTTTAAAAACAGCATATCAGAAAAAAAATAAAAAATAAAAAAATGAAATCCTCTGAAATAAAGTCATAGCTCACTCCAGGCTGAAATCCAGTCTAATAAAAATAGAGTTTCAAAAGCTTAAAGTTATTTCTGAAAATCGCAGCAGCTGTTTTAGGTGCTGCCAAACTTTGCTGTGATTTAGAAACGGTGGAAGAGAAACCTCAGCGTGAAGAATTCAGTATTTTGGAAAGTCTGTAGTGAGAACAGAAACAGAAATTCATTTTAACTGAGTTTTCCACTATTTTACCAGGAAGGTGGCTTGGTGCAGTGGGGGTTTCAGTAAGATCTCTGCTCCTCCAGAACTTCTCCAACACCATTTAGTCTTATGGTCCTAAGTCTTGTGGTTTTTTTATGATAAAAAGCAATATTGCACTTGATTTCTGTGGCAATGCAGAGCTGGGCACGTGGGATGGGCTGAGCTCTCCCTGCTACATTAACTGCAAACACCCCAAAATAGAAGATGGTCTTAACAGCTTCAATGAAGCCTTTGGTTCAATACATGAACATGCTCAAAGAGGTTTTTATGCTGCATTGAACTCAGAGGAGAGCTCCAGCTTGGTGCTGGCCCCATGTTGGACACTGTCTGAGGTCCCCTCCCATCAGAAGTACCCCAAGATATTAAAAAAAAAAAACCTCTTTTTAAGAAAATATTATTGAGACCTACATTTTGTGTTGCTCCACCGGGCTGTAGGCAACTTTCTCATGGTGTAAGAGCAGAAACAGAAAAAAAAGGGAGAGGAAGGAAATACAAAAGGTTGGATGCAGGGAAGAATTCCCAGCTCAGGATGATTATTCCAGTCTCCTGTGAGGCAAGATGGGGGACACACAAGCCACCCTGCCACCGTGTGCCTGTGACTCTTACCAGGATGGTTGACGTTTTTCCACCCTCCAAAGTAATTTCCAGATCTGAGAGCGCCGCGTCCACCTCATCCACGTCCTTGTCACTGTTGTTCAGGTGGTTTTCCGAGGACATGATGGACAGTTTATTGATGTGGTACTGAAAGGCAAGGCACAGCATTTCAATGGGATGTTCCTGTGATCTGCTGGATGCTGTAGGCTCGTCACGACACGGCTACTGCGCTTGGGATGCGGCGTGGAAAACCACAGCCATATCCTCTGTGGGAGCAGAGCTTGGCAAGCGCTGAGAGCTCAGCGCAGTCAGGTCAGGAATGACCACCATGGCTGTTTTCAGTCCAAGGAGTCAGTGGTGTGAACCCTGATGGACTGCTCTGGACCCCACAGGGCAGAGCTACTCTTTTCACAGCATCACAGACTTGGTTGAGGTTGGAAGGGACCTCTGGAGATCACCTGGTCCTAGCCCTTGCTCTAAGAGTGCCACCTACAGCCGTTGCCCAGGCCCATCTCTAGTTGGCTTTTGACTGTCTCCAAGGATGGAGATTCCACAACCTCGCTGGGCAACTTGTGCCACTGCTCGGTCACCCTCACAGTAAAAAAAGTGTTTCCTGATGTTTAGAGGGAACCTCCTCTGTGTTTCAATCTGTGCCCATTGCCTCTGGTCCTGTCACCAGGCACCACTGAGAAGAGCCTGGCTCTACCTCCTTCACAGCCTCCCGTCAGGTATTTAGGTATATCAATAAGATCCCCCTGAACCTCCTCTTCTCCAGGCTGAACACTCCCAGCTCCCTCACCCTCTCCTCAAAGGAGAGGTGCTCCAGGACCTTCATCAGCCTCACAGTGCTTTGCTGGACTCTCTCCAGTAGGTCCATGTCTCTCTCACACTGAGGAGCCCAGAACTGGACCCAGTGCTCCAGGTGTGGCCTCACCAGTGCTGAGCAGGAGGGGAAGGATCACCTCCCTCACTCTGCTGGCAAAGCTCTGCCTGATGCAACCCAGGACACCACTGGCCTTTGCTACAAGGGCACACTGCTGCCGCATGTTCAACTTGGTGTCCACCAGGTCCTTCTCTGCTGAGCTGCTTCCCAGCTGGGTGGCTCCCAGAATATACTGGTGCTTGGGGTTGTTCCTCCCCAAGGGCAGGACTTTGCACTTCTCCTTGTTGAACTTCATGAGGTTCATGTTGGCCCCTTTCTCCAGTCTATTGAGGACCTTCTGGATGGCAGCATGATCTCTGGTGCATCAGCCATCCTTCCAGTTTGTGAGGATCCACTATATCTGTTTTTACCCCAGAAAACTAAAACATCCATAAAATCTCACACTAAAGACCATGTCCAACCCACTCTGGACTGCTTGGAGAGGTAAACTGAGTCTTTATATTTCTGTTTTCACTCTTTTTTACCTAGGAAGGGCCCTAGGAGCAGATAGCTCTGCTCTTGATGGGGATATTTCTGCATCCTATGGTGACAGGGCACACCAGGCCACACATAGTAACTGGCCTGTTATCCACCTTCCAGAAGTCAATAGAAGGTGTAGCATTTATGCCAAATCACACCAAGTATTTCATAAAACAGATAAATAAATAGTTCTGGGAAACCCACAGATTATCACCAGCTGTTTGGGGGGGCAGGGTGCCAGAAATACACAGTTCAGTAACCTAGTGTACTTACTGGGGCTTTTTTTAAGAAGGGTAAAACTAAAAGTTAAGATAGATATAAACATGTTTGGTAAAAGAAGGCCAAGTTCCTTTCCATTAGAAGTAATCATTAGCAAATATTTAAATTACCTAATAAGCTCAAGGGAGGATTAGGAGACAGGAAATGATATGACTTCTACCAGTACAAGAAGTCCAAGCTCCCATCAAAGACAAGATGAAGTTGAAAACACCCAGTTACAGCAGATTTGACTTATCATGTTAATCAATATTAATCGATAGTGAAGTCTACAAAGCTTATAAAATCAAGTTTAATGACAAAAGTAAGAATCTCGGGCTATCTCCTACCTGCAGCGCTGCAAACATCATCATTTCTTCCTCCGTGCACTCGATCTCCTCCAGCAGAATGGCCCATTTGGACTGCTCGTACAGCTGGTTGATCCTGATCGCGTCGTACTATGGCACAGCACAAAAATACAGACTGGTTGTAAAAGGTACAAGGCCAGTTGAAGATAAACAACTTCTTTTTTCATTTCAATGCAATGCTTCAAATTGAGACTGAAAAGCCTCTGCCACTGAAGTGAACCTTAAAGCATCCTTAGCAATACCCAGGAGTGTTGCCTGCATGACCAGTTTCCAAAGCGGTAGAGGATTTACCAACACAAAAGCACATTAGAGACACAAGCATCCTTTGCTCAAAGCCTTTGCCTACAAGATTACAAGTAAAATAAATAGCTCTGTACCTTTGGATTCAGGTCAAAAAAGCTGTAGTACTTGAACCGGAGCAGCAAAGCCTCATTTTCTTTCACCTCCTGCTCCATAAGAGATCGGGATGAATCCAACCATCTGTAAATTGTCAACAGAGGATAACACACACAAAAAGCTCTGGCAGTCACGATGATGCTTTCGAGAATGTAATTTAAACCAACATATTGAGGGGGGAGGGGGGAAAAAAAAAGAATAAAAGAGCAGAAAAACAAATCCTGAACTCACCCTTGGTTGATTTTGGCTTTATCGAGCAGCGCCTGTGGTTTGTACATTTTTGCTAAGGACTCCGGGGAGGTGACTGGCTGGCTCACAGCCAGGATGCCCGGGTTCCCCTCTGACAAGGCACTGTCACCAAACCAGGCTGAAGTGGGTGACAGGGGACTGCCATCGTGAGCGTCGTAGGTTGGTGTCATCGTTTTACTATAGAGTCCTGGGCTTGAATATATGTTTCCTATCGGTAAGAGGAATAAAAGGGAGTTAGCTCATGGCCAAGCCCTGCCTGCTCCCAACCAAGCCAACTCAAGACACAAACCCGAAGCCAACGGATTAAAAACTTTCCCTTTTTTTACCCTTTTTTTTTCCTGCAATGGGAAAACACTGCACTGCTTGTTTTCCCATGAAAAGCTGCCCCTCTCTCTCAGCTTTTCTCCAAGAGCAAAACTGATGGAAAACTCATTCCAGCCCAAATCCATGGGAAAAGGTGCAGGTCTCCCACGCCGGGAAACTCCTGCCCACTGCGTTTCTGTGGCACCTGGGACACGAATGGCCCTTGACTTACCGGTTATTACCTGTTGCTTAAAGATTTTGGAAGTCAAAAGTTTTAGAGGAGCAGGAAAATAAACTAAGGGTGTAGTCAAAAGAGACCAGATGCAGAGGGTAAAAGTCCTACTGAGGTGGGACTCACCTTTGACGGGGCCGATGTAAAGAATATCGGTGCCTATAGAGAGGGAAAGAAAGGAGGGAAGTGAGAAGGCGAGAGAAAGTCACCGGGAGAGCAGGAAAGGACAGAAGCCAAAAAATGGGCATTTTCAGAAGAGGGCAGGATAGCACAGGTGAGGTTTAACCACCCAAACGGATGGTTTGCAGCAGCGCCGGTGGATTTGGCAGGCAAAGCAACCAAAGTGACTCCACGGTTATTTTATTCACGTTACAAGAACCAGCCGGGCACGGAAACACGGCATTTCACGGATGGAAAAGCTTGCTGAGACAGCCAAACAAATTTGGTATTAATATGCTGAGCAAGTGGTGCGACTTGGTGCAAAACTGATCCTGAAGCACACATCACTCCCAGGCTTTTTAAAGCTTTACAGCTCATCCAGACTCAAAGCAGAAAAAAAACCTCCACTCTTTTAAAATTACAAATATGAACGAGAAGCTAAATAGTAGAGTTAAATAGTCCCTATATTCACCTCACAGGAGCACTGATTTTTATGTTTAAGAATATAAAATCCAGATTTTCAAAATAAGGGAGGTTCAACGACCATATCCTAACATCAGTAATTCCACTGTGTATGTAGATCAGGCAATGAGCTCAGCATCATTTGCTGGGCATAAATTTACACACCCACCAGCACCCAGAAGGATCAATAACAAACTGGCTTTTTGGGAAAGAGTTGTGTCCTTTTTAAATCATGAGCCTATTCAGATGTGCAATTCGATGCACCCAAACTCTCTACCTCCAAGAGCACCATGAAGGGTGCTGAAGGCAGCATGTGGCAGGGTTGAGATGCCACGAGCAAGGTCTTCTGTGTCACCTCCTGCTGCTGCCCAGAACCACCTTCTCGGGCCACCCTCCAGCTCCTCACTCCAAACAACCTCTTCTCTTTGAGTGCACAAGAAATGACAGAAAGCTGAACTAGACATCTGGCAAAGCCTAAGATCAAAACAATAGGAAAACCTTTCCAAACTCTTTATTTTTCGCAATAAGTGTCTCAAGGAGCAGCAAGAACGGGTTGAATCAGCAGCATCGTACCAATGACAGCCAACATCTTGGTTAGGAAATTTAAAATAATATAGAAATGTGATTCTAAACTGCCTGACAGGATGGAAAATATAAGTGAAAATTATCCTGTGGCCATCAAACAAGAAAAGCACCAGGATGCTTTTAATGCTCCTGCTAGTTTTGCTGGCATCCCAGTCTGGATTAATCATCTGGGGGACCAGTAACCACTGGGGGTACCTGCCATCAAGACAGAGCCAGCAAACCAGGCATGAGCAAAAAAGCAGCAGAAATGGTGAAGGGATGGAGATATCCACCTTCAAGCTTCATGTTTGCAAGAAGGTGGCCAGGGGTGACTTGCCAGGTACTTTTATATCAACTTTGGGAGTTGGACTCGATGATCCTTATGGTTCATACGGTCCCTTTCCAACTTGAGATATTCTATGATTACAAAAGCAGAAGAAACACGCTCTCCTCATAGACAGTTACAATGTTGGAGCAGAGCAGTCCAACACGAACCAACAATAAACCACCATCACCATCCATAAACCGCATCCCAAAAGATGCTCTCGCCTTCACCCTGTCCACCCTCGCAGTGCATCAGCCTCAACCCTCATATGCCTCAAGCAGACAGGGCTGAGCATTAACCAGACCAACCAAAGAACACAGAATCACGGAATGGTTTGGGTTGGAAGGGACCTTAAAGCTCATCCAGTTCCAACCCCCCTGCCAGCAGCAGGGACACCTTCCACTAGACCAGGTTGCTCAAAGCCTCATCCATCCCACTTCTTGCCCCAAACTGGCCAGGTTTTCCCATGGACAATCCTGCCACATTCCTCCATTTGTGTTCTGCTCCAGAGGAGCAAAGTTTCCCTTCGGATGTTCTCATCACGTTCTCCAAACATCTAAAATATCTCAGAAGAAGTTTCCCTTAAAAAATTTCCCCCAGGCAGGCAATGTCATGGAAGTTTAGCTAACTTCTAAACAAGTGAATACAGGTCTTTTATGGAAAGTGTTGGGCAATATTTACTGTGGGTGTATTGACAGCTCTGCCTACAGCGATTTAAATGGTTTCACTGCCAGGTGCTCAGTGACAAAACATGCCCGTTACATCTACCTGCACTGAAATAAACAGATCCTGAAACACTAACTCGTTTTACAGAAGCCTTCAGCACACAAACTAACGTTGGAATAACATTAGAAACATTTTATTCAAATGAAAAACATGATTTTTAACTAACGGTACCTAAAGATGGCAGGTAGCTGCAGTAATTAAACCTGCAGCAAAAGTAATTTCATTCATAAGGGAAGCAAAACCAGTAAGACAGTTCAAAGTGACTCACTGAAAGACCAATAAATAATTAAAATAAAGACTTTTCTTTTGCGTACATTTCCCCCAAAGCAGGCCAAGTATTTCCTATTAATCTAACAGAGATGCTCTCTGCGAACACTGACTTTTGGAAAGGCTAATTACAGATTTTCAAGATGAAAATGCCAAATGAAAATGGACTGGAGTCTTGCCTGATGGAGGGAAAGAACACTGAGCTAGGAATGGGAGAGGACTAGTCCAGAAGTATTTTTAAGTAACTGAGAGGAGAAAGAGTGAGACTGGAGGAAAAGAAGGATTATTTTTCCATTGCTGCAGACCTGTGCTGATGGTTTGCTGCAGAGCCCGTGGTGCAATTGCTTTGGCATGGCAGCTCCAGGGCATCGTTGCCCTGCGTGGCTGAAACCTTTCTGCTTGCAAGCCCAGAGTGGCTCAGTGGCATTAACCACACTGCACAACCTTCACTTGTACCTCAGTTAATTTAAGACCAATTAATACAAGTTTACTGAATTATAAGATTTTATTTTATTTATTTTTTTAAATTAAAGCTTCCTTCTCATTGCTGGATCTAAACCCAAGAGCTTTGGCAGCCAGACACGTCTCATCCGCCCGTCAGCGCGCATCTCTGCGGCTTTCTCCGCAAGTCCATTTGGGCTGAAGTGCTCCCACTTGACTGACTTTATGGTTTAAGCTCCTGCCACTTGCCTTCAAACACCAGACCTCCAGCAGCTGCCCAGCAAAGCTGAAAGACCCCTTGGCTTACAAACACCTCCCTGCAGCAATTTGCTGTCTGCGGCAAGAGCTGTTACTCCATCAGTGATGTTACTCCGTTAGCGATGTTACTCTGTCAGCAATTCTCTTTGTACCTCTGCTCAGGTTCTGGAAGTCAGACTGGCAAACTACCCACTCCCAGCAATAAAAGGGTTGTTTTTTAAGTGTTATGATCTTTAGCTGTGCCTTTAACACAAGGCAACACTAATAAAATACTGGTTTTCTTGGGCTATAAATAAGGAGCAGAACAGTGGTACTGCCTAAAACACACCTGGAATAAGACATTAGGAACAATTTTCCATTTTACTCCTTTCTTAATAGGGTAAGAAAACCTTTCAGTAACACAATCTGAGTGTTAAAGTGGTCACACTTGGTTTCTGGTGTATTTTATAAAGTCTGGTGTTGTTCTGCTCCCCTATATGCGTGACAGCTTCAGGCATGCATCTGTGCGACCGCGACCGAGTGCTGCAGCCTTGGATGATCTGTGGAATTTATCTGGGGTCTGTTTCTTGCACAGACCTTAAGGAATTACCATTATGTCATTTTCCACCCCCATTTTATTATCTGTTTGCCTCTTACCAACCCCTTTCCTGCAAGCCCAGCCTCACAGAGCAAGCCCTGGCTCACCAGACCCTGGCGTGATCAGTGGACCCTCCAGCTCGAAGGCGTCGTCTTCACATTGATCATCCAGCTTCTTCTTTTTTTTCTTTGATGGATCTCTGGGTTTCCTCAAAAGGGAGAGCTCTTCTGGATGCCTGATGTCTGGGAAGAAAATGCATCACTTTTACAAAGGCAGGATGGAAAAAAAAGGGGAAAAAAAAGAATATCCTTCCTTTAGGAGCAAGCAACATGCAGCAATGTGCAGTACCTCCCTTGGCTGATTTTCCTGCTTTGCAATGGTTAAAAAGCAAGTTGAGAACATTTTCCCTGCAAGCGTGTCGGAAACAAGCACCATCCTTGGCTGGAGAGGTAACAAAGCATTTGGGTAAAATTCAGGATTTTCCAGGCACAGACACTCAAATGCAAATACAAAGCACTGCTACACCCTGCAACAAAGCCTAGTACCATTCCCAGCTCTTATAATAAATATATAACAAATTAAATCTGTTAATCAGCATGTAAACCTCTATTTAGGCACCCAGGTAACGGGCCAGGTACTCTCACTTCCATAGGAGCAATCCAAGAGTCAAGCCATTTATTTACCTATCAGACTGGAAATTTTAGAGCCTATATTTAAGGCACTCACTTTTAAAAGACATCTTGGTCAAATTGTTTCCTTTTCCCAGCCTTTCCCATTTCCCTGCCCAGAACCAGCCTGAATAATTTAAACCCCATGTTATTGAAAATGAAGAGCATGACGGTGTGTTTGTGTTTTAATCCAGGTGACTATGGGAGGCTAATGAAAAAGAGAATTTTAGGGACATTTCCTGCAAAGGCAATACTTCAGGTTTGCTTATATCTGCTGCAGTTGCTTCCAAGTGGGAAGGAGCATTCCAGGAAAGCAGAGCCCACCATCCATCGTGCCACTGAAACTACCCCAAGACCAGAGGGGAGCCCTGAGTTCCTCACTGGCGCTGCAAAAACCAAGAGGGGAGGAAAAAAGCTCCATCTACTCTAGACTGTCCTCAGTCGATATGTGGGAACTGACCTGGAAAAGCATTCACCTGGGCATGGAGCCATCCTACTGCCATGACGAAAGGCTGCAAAAAGGTTGGAGAGTTCTGTATTTCAGCTTGGATGAGAAAAAAGGAGATTATGGATCATGCTTGAGCTGGAAGGAAGAGTTTCAGAGCTCTCCTCTGCAGCTGGGTCATAGAATCATAGACTGGTTTGGGTTGGAAGGGACCTTAAAGCTCATCCAGTTCCAACCCCCCTGCCAGCAGCAGGGACACCTTCCACTAGACCAGGTTGCTCAAAGCCTCATCCAACCTGGCCACAAACACTTCCAGGGAGGAGCAGCCACAGCTTCTCTGGACAACCTGGGACACTGTCTCACCACCCTCACACCAAACAATTTCTTCCTCACATCTCATCTCCATCTCCCCTCTGCCACTTTCAAGCCATCACCCCTTGTTCTGTCACTCCCTGCCCTTGGCCAAAGTCCCTCCCCACCCCTCCTGGAGCCCCTTCAGGTACTGGGAGGCCGCTAGAAGGTCTCCCTGGAGCCTTCTCTTCTCCAGGCTGAACAGCCCCAACTCTCTCAGCCTGTCCTCACAGCAGAGCTGCTCCAGCCCTCGCATCATCCTGGTGGCCTCCTCTGGACTGGTTCCAGTAGCTCCATGTCCTTGTGCTGTTGGTGGCCCCAGCACTGGACGCAGCGCCGCAGGTGGGGTCTGACAAGAGCAGAGTACAGGGGCAGAGTTTGTCCACGTTCAAGCCCCTGTGCTGTTTCTCGCTCTGCTTTTGAGATGTATCCCCCAAAAATGTGAAGATGTGCAAAGCTTTGGCTTCGGGATGCCCTAAGGAAAGCAGTCACCGGTCCTGTCCGCATCGAAGCCCGCAGCTGTAGCTGGGAGGGAAACCAGGAGACCGAGGAGATGGAGCTGGTTGTGCTGCAGCCAGGCTATACTTTCCCACCAAGAGGAATGCTGAACAAGACAATAAGTCATTATCCTAACGAGGAGAGGTGACAGGGTTCATCATATCTCACCCTGGCCCCCCCGCGCAGCCGTCACCACGCCGGCAGCAGTGGGAGTTTGCTGTACACTCCCAGCTGTGAGAATATAACTAATATAATTAAAATATAATTAAAAACCTGGGATTTGGTCCCCCGTATGTGACCTAAGTGGGACACATCCCCATGTGTCCACCCGTGCCAGCATCTTTCCTTACGGCAAATAAGTGGGGAAATGTCAGGTTGGAAGCGAGCTCTGCTCCCCCCTTGCCCCATCCAGTGACACACTGTGAGCTGAAAAACAGTACATTATATAAAAAAATTTAAATTTATTAAAGCAGGTCACAACCCTGGGCTTTGTCCTCTGTTTGCAGACATGGTGACCATCACATGGGCTGTTCCTTCCTGGGGAACACACTGTGACAGTCTCCCTGTGATGTTATTTTAAAGAACAACCTGTGCTTTTCCCCTTTTCTTTTTCTTTTTTTTTTTACCCCTGGGATTTTAAATTACAGCCTGTGCACCACCACCAACCCCGTTGTGCCTGTCACATTTCAGGGATTTGATTTTAGGTGACCTCCAGAGATGAATCACACTAGCCTTGGAGTTCCCAAATCCAGAGGTCGGGCACCTCTGGATTTAACCATCTCTCATATTGTGGGTCTGCAATCACCTGTCACTGCTTTAATTTAAGCTTGATTTTTATTTCTATATTAAT